CTTGCACCCCTCCCAACTCCTGGTTGAGTTCCAACAGTACAGATCCGGTCAAATTCGTTGTCTCACTGTATGCACATGCCAGCCTAGACATCTCCCTCCTCATTCCTATGGCAAGTCCAGGAGACGGTGGGCTGGATGCAGCCACAACCGCAGCATCGTCCGGATCCCTGTGGAGGCTTTTTGATGATCATCCCCCGGCACAAGTCCTCCAGAGAGTGCTGATGCCGGAAGCTGAGAGGAACTTTATTTTATGGAGAAGGAGGAGTTGTTCTGAACATAGTCCTTTGGAGAAAAGCAAGAGTTCAGGGTAATGACAGTTCCTTGCTGGCTGAGTTGCAGGGTAGTCAACTTCTTGTAGGAGGTGCAATGTACATCTTACCCTACTGGGGCCTGTAATTGATGATTCCTTCCTATAATTGAGAGTGGTATGACTCCCCTTCTAGCCTTTTGACTCCACTTTAGTGAGGTTTCCCTTTATTCATGTTCACATAGCTAATATGTACTGTAGCACTAGCAAGCATCTATTATAGTCATCTGAGTGATAGCTGAGCTTTCCCGGCAGCTGCAGGTTAGATTTCTATCATGATCCTTTTGTAGAGGAGTCACTGCTAAGGTCACTCAGGAGGCAGTAAGTCCAGGATCAGGACATGAACCTGGGACCTTCTGGCTATGGTTGAGCTGCAGCAAATTGTGCTGCATGACCTGGTTGTTTAGCAGCAATCCCAAGTCCTCCTCATTCCTCATGAGGTTTGACTGGAGAGCTACTGAGGTTCATCTTCCTGGTGGGTGACCCCTGACCTAACACTTTGCAACCTTTGACAACTGATTTCATGATTCCAGCAGCGCTGGGGAAGCCAAATTAGAGCTAGACAGGCCTGAGAGATCAAAGACAATCCTCTAGTTCAAGGCTTTTATTTTGTAGACTAGGAAACCAGGAGCATCTGAACTGTCAGAAGCCAGATTTCAGGTCTCCAAACTCCACATTCCTGCCAGAATACCAAAATTTAGCTTGTGTATAATGTAATTTAAAAAAGAACAAACAGGTCAGTCAGTTATGTCACCTTCCCTCTGCTCTACACCTTGGATCTAAAATGTGTTCGTAAGTAAACATTTTGTTTTGACTTACTCATAGTTGGGTATTTTTTCCTGTTTTTAAAAAACAGGCTCCCAGTAACAGCCTTGCAAGAGAACTTCCCTTCGTTGCTGGGTGTGCTAAAGGAGTCTGTGCCGCTCAATCTGGCTCCCCCTGGGTATTTTCTGCTCCTCAGGTATCACGTCACAGCATTCATGCTATCATATTTTATTACTGGAACATGTTTTATGTCTGCAGCCTTCTTAGCCTAAAGCTGCTTATCTCTCAACAGCATGCTGAATGACTTTGTGACACGAACCCCCAACCTGGAAAGCAAGAAGGACCAAAAAGACCTGCAGGTCTGTGTGGGAATAAGTTTAGTGGGTTGTCACTGTTCCAGGAGCACTGTCCATCTTCAGCGGGGACCGTTGGAGATAGTAAGCATTGGGCAGATTGGATCTCAGATTTGCGTTTGTTCTGGCGTCTAACTTCCTCTTACTGTCTCCAGAGGGCTTGTAGACTTGGGCCAGCGTCCCCTGGTGAAGGTTCTTGCATCGGGCTTGAGCGATCCTCTGTGGAATTCACAGATGCCCTCTGACTCCTGCAGAGCTTACTCTCCAGCATAGCTGGAAGGACAACTCCGTCTTCACCCATGGATTCCTTTCCTTGAAACCTTTCTTTTCCCCCTTATTAAAGCAGTATATACTCAGAAGAAATTTAGAAAATAGTGAAAAATAAAAGTGAAAATCACCCATAGGAGAAGGAAAATCTTCTTAGAGTAGAATGCTAACTGATAAATAGAAGTAATGGTGGAGTTAGAAAGTCAGTATTTTGCAGCCATTATAATCACTGAGCAAGGGGCTTTTTGAGTCCAAGGCATCAGTTTAAACTGGGGTGTGTAAGTTTATGGCTTTGGCCGTATTTCTGCTAATCATTATGATCCCTGGATTTTGTGAACGAGCTTTTATCCCTTTCCCTATTCGGAACCGCAGGAGTCCTGTATGAAGTGTAGTGAAGCATAATCAGGGGACCCAGGTGCCTCCCCTGGCCTCACCTTGTAGAGAAGAAAGCATCATTAGCGTGCAGGCACTGCCCGCCCAGCTCTCGAGCAGCACTTCCTCAGCTTAGCTCAAAGGCTGCCCCTTTGCACGGCCTGTTACCTGTGGCAGCCCCTCTCCCTTCAGTCCATTCTGGGCATCGCTTTGTCCACAGGCGTCACCTCAACAGGTGTAACTGGTGACCTCACCTCTGTCCTCTGAGCTAGGAGAACTAGGTAGGTCCCACTTCTGCTCCACAGCCCTTAGGCTCCCTGACACTAGTTCCTTCCCGCTGTTTCCAGGCATACCCTATACTTCTCCATCTACTCACTGAAATGGGACTTCCAAGCCCTCCACCCCTTTTCTCCGTCCTTCTGGCCACCCTCCTCTGCCCAGGCTCACTGTAGCTAACGCCTGAAGGTGCGCCTCCTGGCCCCAGGCAGGGAGGCATGCTCTTGCTTCATGACTAAATTCAACCGCTAGGCTTATGGTGGGAATCAGGATTGCTGGATCCTCAGATGTCAGGGAGGTACCGCCACTCGTAGCTGGGGAGACTTGGTACTGGCTTGAGAAACCCTCTCGGTTTCCATCCCTTCATCCCAGTTACTTGGCCAAATTCTCTACTCATGGCACTCCTGTTATGGATGATTCCTTACTTCACCCTCATTGTGTCAACCTCATTTATTTAATTTTGTTCCTTATTATATTGTTGAGAGATGCATTTCTAGCAAGAACCCATGGTCCTAAAGAAACAAGAAAATTGATCGGCTAGATGCAGTGTGCAGCTAGGACTTCATGTGTCCCGTGCTTTGCCTACATCGGCCGGTATAATAGCTATTAGCTGCATGTGGCCATTGAACACTTGAAATATGCCTTTTCTGAATTGAATGTGCTGTAAGTATGACATACACATCAGATTTCAAAGACTTAGTGCAAAATATCATTAATGATTTTTGTGTGGGTTACATATTGATAATATTTTGTATATATTGGATTAAACATTATGGACTTGTCCCTTCTTTTTTATGTGGATCCTAAAAAACTTAATATTAACTGTGTGGTTCAAAATTGTGGCTTGCGTTCTCTTTCTACTGCGTGGTGCTGTTTCAAGCACTTAAGATTATTAACTTACTCCTTTCCTCTTTCTCTCAATTACTCTCAGGAAGTTACTCAAAAAATCCTAGAAGCTGTAGGGAACATAGCTGGCTCTTCCTTGGAACAAACCAGCTGGCTCAGCAGAAACCTGGAGGTGAAGGCCCAGCCTCAGATCTCTCTAGAAGAATCTGATGCTGAGGAAGATTTGTGCGGTAGGTGTGGAAGGATCAAAAAGTAATGCCTGCTGCCAGCTAGTGGGTCAAGTTTTTCCTTAAAAGTGAACTGTCTGACGGGGAAGGCAGTACAACACAGAGAAGACAAGTAGTGATTCTATAGCATCTCACTACTCTGATGGACAGTGACTGTAATGGGGTATGTGGGGGGGACTTGATAATAGGAGGAGTCTAGTAACCATAATGTTGTTCATGTAATTGTACATTAATGATAGCAAAATTCTTTTAAAAATTTTTTAAAGATAAAAAGGCATAAAAAAAAGTAAACTGTTCTGACTTTTTAACAAAAGTTGTACGTGTAATAAACAGTAGGATCCCACTGGTAGCATCCTGAGTGACGAAGGCCTCACTGTGCCTGGATGAGGGTCCAAGAGAGTAAGTTCCTAAGATGTTTGCATGGACTCAGTGACAGAAGGTGTGTGGGATAAAGAATATGAGAATGTGTGTTTTTCTTGTAGAAATGTGGGGGTAAAAACTTAGTAAACCAACAAACTTGTCAGGTGTGTTGTGTATCTCATTTCTGACCAATATACCCTCACCTCTCAGTGGTCCTCGTGCTGCGTTATTGCCAGGGATGCGAGGGTTTTATGACGGGGGCACACAGACCGGGCCCACTGCAGCCTGTTATTAGTTACAGCTTCCTAAGAAAATGATCAGGAGGCTCTCACGGGAGACTCATCCCTGATCAATGGATACGCTCGAGGAGTCTGAATTAAGCACAGCAGTGTAGACGTCGATTTCCAGTGCCCTAAAGACGACCCCTGATCTCTCAATCAGATGAATTTAGGTGACCACACCTGCTGCAGCAAGGGAGAGATTCGACAGCCATGGGAGTGTGTCAACACGGGGCATTCGGAGAGGATACCTACAGGGTTGTGGGGCCTAGGCTGAGCTCTCTGTGGCGGATCTTTGCAGGTGGGGTGCTGCTTGGGAGCAGGCAAAGTTAATGATGAGATGCCTTTGGATTGGCCGGCACAGCACTAGACAAGGGTCCGGAAAGGAATCTTGGTGAGCACGCTGGTTGCTTTGATATATAAGCTGGTTCCATTGGTTTACAGTCTCTCAGGACTAACTATTTCTTGGAACAAGTAATTATTTTTGCCAGTTCTCAGTATTATTTAACACAGGGACAGGAAAATAAGCCCAGCTCTAGCATTCTTCAACACTGGATGATAAAACAGGCTTGGTCTCAGTTTTATTAACACAGCAGCAAAAAAATTACATTTAAGTTCTCACATGAACTACATAGCACCCTACCTACTGTAAAATATATGGTCAAGAACTGTTGGTTCTGACATATTCCCTCCACCAGTATCAGTAGCAGTGGTTATAGCAACAGAACCAGAGTTAAATTTGTGATTTTTAAGGTCTGATGGAAGAAGTGTCAAGACATCAGGGCTCTTTTCTCTGACAAGTAACAAATCTGTTTAGACCCAAAATAAAAACAACAAAACTAAAAGCTTTGGCTCATGTAAGTGGAAAGCCCAGGCACTGGTGCCTGCTTTAGGCATAGCAGGAACCACGCACTCAGATGAGGTTGGTCTTGCAGAGATTCTGACTGGCTCCTCCTGGGCCACGTGGCTTACCTGGAGGAGGGAGAAATGGGCTGCCACCCAAAGGGGTTCCACTCCCAGGAGGAAGAAGGATGGTGCGCTGGACAGCAGACTGCAGGGCCACCGCCTATTACTTCTGCCATATTAGTTGGGTAGCTAGGTTTGTGGTTTGCATAAGAAAAATAATTCTGTTTACTCTGTAATGAAGATACTGTCAACGAAAAATTCAAGTCTCCTTGGAATGAAGATGGAATTTGATTTGACAAGGCTAAGGACTTAGAAGTCCAGAAATGTAACTCTCACAGATAAGAGAAATGTTTTAAGGAGTCCAATTCATACAAAGGTTTTTATATCCTCAGGGAGATGGGCAGGAAAGACAGAATTTCAAAAGGGGTACATTCCATCTACATAAAATATATAGTGCTAAAGGTTAGGGTCAGATCCATCCGGGCACCAAAAGATAGCCAAGGGAAGGAAATATTCTCACTTAATCTTATGCTAGTGAGCAGGAATCCAGACAGCAAAGGAGAACAGATGAGGTGGTGTATAGGTTATCTTTTGCTTTTAATTTGGTTTTAATTAACAGGTGTTATTTAAGTTCTCAAGAGTGGCCATTTGAGACTCCCGGAGTTAATGAAACCTTCAATACTTAGGCCTTAGAAATCTTTCAGTGGGCACTAGTTATGGTGATCAGCTTCTCTTTATTCCACAGTGCTGTAACTATATACTGTCATTTGCTAATGTAAGCCAACAATTATATGCTTTCCCAGGTTGTGGTTATGGTTACAGTTGTGGTTCTAGGGAGAGAGTATTTGCGTCTCCTTGGATAATTTGCCCTCCGTTACTTCTGTATTATGTACTGATGTTTGGATCGAACTGTTTCCCCACCACCAGAGCATCTGACGTTGTCAAGTGTTATTGAGCTTCACTTTTGTACAGTGACTAAATTTAACCTCAAAACAATACTATAGTAAAATTACCTGATTTCTTTTTTTAAAGAAATCATGAGATTCCAAAGATGGAGGTGATTTTTGAGTTTCTCAAAAGACTTAATTAGCAAATTATCAAGAACCCAAAAACCTGAGTGTTTGGATCATAACTGTATTTTCTCTTAGTCTTAAAGAAAATACTGACTCTATAAAGCATGAAAAAAAATGAGGCTTCACCTGGTATATTTTTCTCCATTTAAAGTTTTGATGCATGCAGCTGATGCGGAGGTTGCAGGTGCAAATTTGCATCAGGCGTGGGCACACACTGTTCTCAGATTGGCACTACAGCAGCAAACAGGAGCAGGGCTCTGCTCTTGTGCGGACGGAAGGAAGAGCATGATCAAAAAGTAAATTAAAGTATCTTTCAACTCTTCTGGAAACCTGAAACTATTTCAGAATAGAAGTTTTTTTTTAAGACCCAAGAAACAAGAAGATTACCCAGAAAATTTCAGTACTGCACTGAAGGATAACACTATAAGGAAAATAAGATAACACTATAAAGAATAACTAGATGTGGGCCGGGGGCCACTTCAGATGTTATAAAGCATGTCTTCAAGGTAGTGGTAGTCGTGCTGCAAAGTAAAAAGGTAAGGGGGCAGCTGTGCAAATACCTGGGAAGGCAGTGCCCAGAGGGGATGCGTCCTCAGGGCAGGTGTGGGCTTAGACCAGAACTGGAAGACCAGTGTGGCTGGAGCAGGAGTGGTTGGCAGAGATAAGGTAGGAGTAGGGGCTGAGGGTTGTGAGCTTGATAGAGAGCGTGATCAGGAGCTTGGACTTCATCCCACTTGCTGCAGGAAGCCATGATGTTCAGAGCAGTAACAGGATCTTAGTCTTTGGAAAACATAGTTTGGTTCCTGTGAGCAATATAGGCTGTATGGAATGAGAACAAAACAGGAAGTCCACTTACAAGGAGTTTGTAGTGGTTCGGGCAAGAGATAATGTTGGCTTGGAGGCAGGGAAGATGGGCAAGGTGGACTGATTCAGATGCATTCAACAGAACTTGCTGATGGACAGGGTGTTGGGGCTAAAAAGAAAGGCAATCAAGAAGGAGTTAGGATTTTGGCTTAAGCAATTTACTGAGGTGGAGAAGACCAAAGCAAGAATGTTTTGGGGAAGGAAGTCAGCTTTGGTTTTGCAACTATTAAATTTGAGATATCTGGAAAAGAGAAGGGAGAAAAAATGATGAAGTGGTCACTAGAGTGGGAGAAAACCAAGAGAGCATAGAATAACAGAACCCGGAGAGGAGAGCGTTTCAAGGAGGAAGGAGTAACACAGTGGAAGGCTGCTGAGAAGCAGAGTAAGGTCAGGACAGAGACCCAGTGGGTTGGACAATGCGGAAGCCACTAGGGCGGGAACACGTGGTTTGCACAATAGGTGGAGAAGAACCTGGGAGATGAGGAGAGGAAGATGGTGAGTGTGAACTCCTTGAAGCTTAGTTGTCTGTGGAGCAGTAACCGAATAGAACTAAGGACCAAGGAGTATCTTTTATTTGGTTTGTTTTTAAATTGGATTATGTGGAAGCATTTTTGTATGGTGATGGAGCAGTATAGCAGAGAGGAAGAAATCAAGACCAAAGAGAAAAAGAACAGTGAGGAAGCCAAGTCCTTGGCAGCCATTGGGCCGGTATTTACATCATGAATGGATTGACAGTTCTTTGATAGGAGCCAGGAACAAGTCTATCTAAACAGGAGCAAGGCAGAGAACATGGCTGTAATGTTCTAGGTTAATAACTCAGTGGCCAAAGTCAGAGTGGGCCCTTTGTTTATATTAACTTTCTCAATGAAATAGGAGCAAGGGTAGTCAACCGGGACACAAGTTGTAGGATTACCTGGCGGCTACAGGTCCCTTTTGAGATTCCTGGTCACAAGATAAAGTGAAACCAGCTCCATAGTGGTCTGGTTTTCTCCAGAATGTGGAGCTGTGGAGAACTGCGTAGGTTCGTCACTGGGTTTAGCAGCTCTGCACTTTTCTAGATGGGTGCTTCAGAAGGGAGAGAAGCAAAAGAGTCAAGGCTATTCGCAAGGGAGGTGATAGAGCCTGGGTGCAGGTGGGAGGTGGGAGGTCGCTGAGGTGTTAGACTCAAGGGATTGGAGGTCCTTGAGAGCAGAGGGCCAGGAAAAGTAAGATGTGAACACTGGCTATGGGGATTTGGGAGATTGCTGAGGTCCAGGGTATGATGGTGACAGTGGATGGCTGAGCTGGAGCAGAGTAAAAGATTGTTCGAAGAGGCCAAGGGGCTCAGCGCCAGGATGTTAGATGGACCGTCCAAGGGGATGTTGAAGTTCCAAGAATGGTGATGAGAATAGAAATGGGGAGGAGGACAGTGAGTTGGTGCTAATTTGTTTGATCAAAGCACCCAAAGTGTTAGTTGCTGAAGAACACCTGGCCTATGCTTCCATACATAATCAGTATGAAAGGTGGGGGCTCATCCCTCACGTTCATGTCATGCTTTTGGGAACATAAAAGGTGACCCATCCGTCATGATTAAAGCACATCATCACTCTCTTAGCAGATGCTGCTGCCGCCAGTTCAGCAATGGTGTCCGCATCAGCCCCTTCGATGTACAGTGTGCAAGCCCTCTCTCTCCTGGCAGAGGTAAATCACACCTGCCTTGCCCCTTAGGGAAGTGACTGCCATCGTAAATCTTGGTGAAAGCGCTCTGTTCTCAGGTGCCAGGCCGAGTGGGCTACCCCATCCCCGGGGACCCGGGAAGGCACCCTGGCATCCAGCCGCACCAGGGCTTTCCTTGTTGGGTCTGGACCCCTTGCAGACTAAGTGTCCTACTGTCACTTCAGAAGGTTTCTGTTTTCTTGGGACCCTGTTCTAGGTTCTGGCATCCCTCCTGGACATGGTTTACCGGAGTGATGAGAAGGAGAGGGCAGTGCCGCTCATCTCCCGTTTGCTCTACTACGTGTTCCCCTACTTGCGCAACCACAGGTGTGCTGTCTTCGCTGTGCCCCCCTCCCCGCCCACAGGTAGAAAAATGGGTTGTAGTAGCTTTTCCTGCACAGCCTTCAACCTTGACCCTGTTCTCCTCCCACCCCATGTTAGTGCCTACAATGCCCCCAGCTTCCGAGCTGGCACTCAGCTGCTGAGCTCTCTGAGCGGTTACGCCTACACGAAGCGAGCCTGGAAGAAAGAAGTCCTGGAGCTATTCTTGGACCCTGCTTTCTTCCAGATGGACACGTGTTGTACACAGTAAGAAAGGCTGTCTTCATAAAAACGTGCTCTGAATCCTCCAGGGGAGAAGGTGTTCTGGTTAAGTAATTAATTCTCCTACCTGCAGCAGGAGCAGGGCTGGTAACCACCCAAATCATAGAGCGCCCCTGTCACAAGCTCACATTAACTGTGTTCGCCGGGAAGGAAGGAAGTCTTTCAAAAATACAAAGGTGCCTTCAAAATCAAAAGAAGGATTGAATTAGGAGAGTGTGTTATTTATTCCTAAAGAGCATAACACAGGTCCCAGTGGGACTTGGTCTTGTACTATTTTATCCTGTAATCACGGAACAAGGGACCAACATGTAGAGGACAGGGCCCAATGGTGACGCTGCAGTGTCCTCCTCCCGCACCTCAGCGTCCACGCCACCTGCCAGACCTTGCTGGGGCGGACACTGCTCTGCACAGCAGAAAGCCCCTGAGGGTCGGATGTGAGGTGGAGTTCCTGGGCCTTTTCTCAGAGGTTGACGCAACCACTCAGTGACTCCACCTGGCTCAGCTGAACTCATCTTTATTAATGGCAGGAGTAGAGAGTGGAGATCGGTCAGCTTTTTGTAGGGCCTGAGAGTTTTCCCCGCCACCACCAGGGCCCCATAGCTTGTACCCTGCCATCTGGTTGCTCCTCCGAGAGCGCATCTAAAAACTAGTGGCATTTGTCCTCACTACCCCCATTTCTCTCCATCAACACAAGTCCATGGACATCACCCTATGTGAATGTCTTTAGGGGCAACCCCTGAAAAGGCAGAGTACCTTGACAACTTGGTCTCCATTCACAGGAAGCTGGGAATTATTCATTATTCCCTATTAATCACTCCCTATGTTAAGGAAAAGCTTTTTAGCTTTCCCTTATATAAAAACTATTTTGGTTTCCTTCTTTTCCGAAAGCAGTTCTTAATTAATAGATCTTAAAAGGGCATGTTCTTTCCTTGATGTTTTTAATCAGACTGCCATCCTTTGCATGTTTAATTAATTTTGCTCTTTTTGGTATCCAGTTGGAAGTCCATTATTGACCATCTTCTGACTCATGAGAAAACAATGTTTAAAGATTTAATGAGTAAGTTCTATGTTACTTGCACATAAGTCACACTTTAAAGGACCAGTGCCATCATAATCAGCTTGTACCATGTATTTCAGAACCTACTCAAATCTCTTATGATGCCATCTAAGCTGCAAACTGTAATGTGATGTGTATAATATGTCAGGACTAAATGCATGAGCCTTTCCTGTTCCAATCTACTGACAGGTGTGCCTCAACAGACTTTTCTACAACTTTTTAGTGGAGAAACAACTTTTGAAAGTAATGATGTTTACCCTAATTTATTAGGATTACTTTTCTATACTTTGTATCTTCTAATAGCCTATCATTAAGTATCAAAGTACTTTTACAAATAAATATGTGACTAATAACCACATGCCATTCTTAATTGAGATGATGGTTTTCGTTTTCACGAGGGAAGATAGGAATCACACTGGTATGAATGTCCTGTCACTCACATCAAATTGTCGTTTTCTCACGTAATGGAACTTACTTGCTTTTTTATTCTAGACATGCAGAGCAGTTCTTTAAAACTGTTCTCAAGTTTTGAGCAGAAAGCCATGCTGCTAAAGCGCCAGGCTTTTGCTGTGTTCAGTGGAGAACTCGATCAGTACCACCTTTACCTTCCTCTGATACAAGGTAAGAAGGCCCTCCCTCCCCCGAGCCTGCCCTCCCCACCACACACACTCTCAGACCCCCAGTGGCTGATGTGGGCTGGCTGCTAGAGGGACCCACGTGGCTTATGGCAGAACGGGCTAGTATTACAAGGAGTACTCACCAGGGTTTATCACTGAACTTCAGAAATGTATCAGTAAATCTGAAACTTTATTTTAAAAATCAATTATAATCATGCTGCTAGTTTTTATGAAGTAGTTTTTCAAAGTCTGCCAGTATGTTCTGAGCAATGAATGTCTCCAGCTGGATTCCTCCTGCAGTCAAAATACTTCAAGTTTACAGTACTAACTGAGGCTGCTGAAGGAGCAAGAGTTTGGAGAAGTACCTGATTTTTCCTTAACACTTTTTCCTCTTCTTCATATGCACTGTATTCTTTGTCTGCTTCAGAACTGAATTATTGTGGGTGTTGTGCACAGTTTTGAAGGTATTTTTTTTTTCATCCTTATAAAATGTTGATGTGGCAAAGTAGACATTCTCTTTTAACCCACCCTCCTCTGGGATATCAAAGACTTCTCAACTAGGAATGTGTTCTCCCACAGTGGAGACGAGTAAAGCTCATATAACTCTTGGAGGATTTTTTTGTTTAATGTTACAAAAACTAGTGTAACAAGCAGTTTTATAAATATTAGAATTATGGTATAAATCCTCTTTTAGGGGTCAGGTTTATTAAGGTATAATTTATATACAGTAAAGTCACCCTTTGGTTATACAGCTCTATGAATTTTTCTAAACATGTGCAGTCCCATAACCATAACCACAGTCAGCTTACAGAACATTTCCATCACTCCATAAGGTTCCCCCATGCCCCTCAGAAGTCATCCCCTTGCCTCCAGCCCCTGGCAACCACTTACCTGCTTTCTGTTCACATAGTTTCATCTTTTCCAGAATGTTATATAAATACTATTAAATAATGTACAGCCTTGGAGTCTGGCTTCTTCGACTTGCATAATATATTTGAGTTACCATTGTATTAAGAGATTGTTATTTATGGTATTTATCAATAGATTGTTCTTTTTTATTGGTAAATAATATTTCACTCGGATTGGTTTACCAGTTCACCAGGTAGAATTATAATATAAATCTCTTACTCTGCTCTTTTAAAAAATTTTATAGATATGTCAGCTCACAAAGCATGTGCTTCTCCTAAAGTCTTCTTGATGACTCTTAATATCAGTATTAGTTGTCTGCCCACTTCCCTGCTTGATGAACTATTTGAAAAGTCTCAATTGTTCTAGTTCAAAACACTAACAGCTTATTCATTATGACAATATTTCATATGTGAAATTATACCTTTTTGCTTCAGCTGACATCATTTCAACATACTGTCTTAAATACTTAAGATATATTGAAGTGAATATTCCAATATTGACAAATCTTTCTAGAATTACTCATAGGAGACTAGTTCAATCAGATGGTGACCAGTAATGCCAGTAAAAGTAATGATGACCCCCCAAAGACTCCGGCTGAATGCAGAGTCAAAGCTGAGCTTTGTTTCATCCCTGCAGAGCACAGAGGGGAGAAGGAACAATGGGAATCGCATTTCCTCTAGTTCACATGCAGCATCTCTGATGGTGCTTTGTGCACGTGGCCGCTGGACAGTGGTCTGGAAGGGCGGTGTTAACTCCACCTTCTCAGTCGAGGCAAGAGGTGGGAAATAGAGAGGAGAGCATGTTGGCCAGGCACCTCACCATCCTTTTAGAGCCTTCTTACTCTGAGAGCAAATACCTATTTCTTCTCTCCCCTCTTTCCCCTCTCACACACCTCCTCTAAATTCTGGAGTGATGCCCTGAGAGCTAACATGCCAGTATTCAGTGTATAGAACAAGAAATGGATAGACAGCCTTCCTCAAACAGTGATGTGGAGCCTTTGGCCATGGCAGGATTTAACCTTAACTCCAACAGTTCTGAGAAATTATGCTTCTGAGAGGGAGAGAGAAGTAGGGACAATATAATATCATATACATTATATATGTTCTATTCATACATGCAACATATATGTATATATGTCAGCATAATTAAATTGGAAGTGGTTTTGGGCTCTTAGCAAAGGAAGAATTTCTCTAAGTACATACCCTCCACTTTGGATAGCTCAAGTGCTGTATTTCTAAGAATACTTTGTGTTTAAAAAATATATGTGTTTAGTCCCTTTCATTTTTTTTAACTGGCAGTTTACAGACCACTTTCCACTGTATGGTAATTGTCCCCAGGACTTCTGATAGGCCCAGCCTCCATGAGGTCCTGAGAGACAGAATTCAGAGCATCCTGATAGTCTTGGGATGTTGCACTGGGCCCCATGGAGCAATGATTCCCAAGTCAAGGGGGTAGGTACATCCAGAAGCTTCCAAGTTCCACACCATGCTAAAGCTTAGGTCTAATCAAAGGAGGCAGGAACAGGGGATTTCTAACAGTTCTCTTCCTCTGGGAGGATGCCCTCTGGGGTCCTTTTCTCCTAATTTTTTTTTTTTTTTGAGACGGCATCTCTCATATTTATTGATCAAATGGTTGTTAACAACAATAAAATTCTGTATAGGCGGGTCAGTGCTCAATGCACAATCATTAATCCATCTCAAACCTAATTCTCGTCAGTCTCCAATCTTCTGAAGCATAACAAACAAGTTCTTACAT